GTGGTGTGCAGTGCCTACTGGCGCCTTAGCGTCTACTTCCAGCCGCCGGTCGGGTCTGGTTAGATCTACCAGCTATTCCCTCTTGGATGCAAGTGTTTCCAGTGTACCCCTGTCTCACGTTCACCCAATTAGCTCCGAGGAGGGCGGGGAAACGGCTGAGGATCCGCCCTGCTTCATCGATTCTGGGGAGGACGTGGAGGAAGAAGAGGATATCGATGTCTCAGACTCGTCGGAATCCAGTGAGGAGACCTTATCCGCCGCGGAGTTTCCGTGTTCGGACGCCGAAGGAACTTCGAAGGTGTTTTCCTGTTTATTTACGATCTCATTTTGCTGGAGCACTCATAAGTGTGTATCGCTAGTGTTTCCTTTTCTTGCGATTTTGTCATCAGTGCTCGAAAGCAGCATTTATTTAAGTAGGAAAGAAGCAGGTTGTTTGATGGCCAAAACAATTTTTTTCATTTTATCTGGGCTTTCGCACTCTTACCGGAGTCCCTCATCCACGATAAAAGCAGCAGCAGCCGGAATAAAAATTTTAAGTATAAAAATCGGTGCCAAGACCTGATTTCCCAATGACTTGTTATACGAAGTAAATTGTTGACTGCCCGTTCCCGAAAATAAGGATTGGCTTTATTTAGACTCGGGAAGCTACTTAAAAATATGTGCTGATTTTGCCACGACGAGTTTGGCAGCCTCTCCGTTGACACCTATTATTATATTTCTTAATATGCGCAAATATTCGGGGTCAAGATGTCATATCATGTTCATCCTCCCCGCAAGAGGAAGAAGAAGAGGGGACAAGTGCTGGGACCAAATTGTATTTGTGCTGACGTTTCGAAAATGTACTCGTTCTCATCGTCAGAGCGTGGTGCTTACTCTTCCGCCAGCCTCGATTTAGTGCGCCTCGCCGCTAGCCTTGTGTTGTAGCTACACGATATTATATTTCTATAATAAGGAACGTTGAAGATGTCTTGCTTTTTGATTGTCTCAATATTTTGTGTGCTCATAATTGTGTTCTGCTAGTATTTTCCTTTCCTCAAGATTTCGCTATGCATACCCTGAAGCAGCGTTCATATTTGTGGATTATTGCCTTATAGTATAAATCATCTGCACCCTCCGACGCACTGTTCAACCATGCGATAGAGTTTTTCGTGATTGAAGTTCAGTCATAATGCCCTTGCAGCACATCGAACTCAAAAGTCGGTCGCTTTCGCCGGCCGACACGCCAAAGTTGATTCTCTAATTGACTCATTGCTTATACCATGAGACATAAGTTAAACCCATTTTCCTGGCTTATAAACAGGAGGGCTATTCCAGTATCCGAGGCGCATTTCAAAGAACTTTATTTCGACTAGGAAAACAAACGCCCGGCGGCTTTTTAATTTTTTTACCTCCAGCGATATTTATTAAAGAAGTCCCACTGGCCGCCATTCCAGTCTCCTTTGTCTTTGCCGGCAATGTTATCTGCCTAAACTGTACGTCCGCTGGCGGGGTTCGAAGATAAACCTCGAGGCAAAGCGGGACGAGTGAGTTCCGTTAGCGATCGGTGAGCGTTTATCACTGAATATCAATAGCTCCCGACCTAAACCGGCAAGATAACGAGCCTGTGGCTGAATGGTTAGAGCGTTATATCAAAAGGTTGCGGGGTGGAGCCTCTAGAGGGGCATCACTTGCCTGATGGCGGCCACTGCGTCGGAAGTGGCCATGTCTGTTGCCGCTGGTTGATCTCCAGCGCGCTATTTGTCCCGCCTCGGGGGCAA